GGCACAGGGAGGTGACTTTGACCGTGCTGTTCACGTCCACAGCTTTTGCAGCGGTTTTGTTTTGAATAAGTTTGGAAAATTTGCCTTTTCCTGTTCCTCACTCTCCTTGGCACCCTTTCTTTCCCCTAAAGAATTTGGGGGTCCTGTCCTGTGTGTTCCGATCCCTTTTTTATTCTCATCGCACCCCTGTTAGGTAGGCCAGCGAAGAAGCAGCGAGGGGCCTAAAGCCCCCCCAGAAAGCTTTAGGGCAGCAAGGGAGAGGGTCCAATGGTCCTTTCCTCAATCCAGCATTTAATCTTATTTGAAAACTGTGTTGGCCTTGGGATCTCTGAGGGGTTGAGGTCTTTGGCCGTGGAGCCAGAGGTTGGGAGTTCAATTCCCCCCTGCCCTTTCCAGCTCTGCCATTCTAAAAGGATGATGATCCATCCCAGCAATGAGTTTCTCCTTATCTCCCTCCATAGCACCCACGTCAGGTTCATAGATTTCCATATTTGCTCCGTTTTTTACTGGAGACAGTCTTCTCTCTCTCTCTCTTTCTCTTAATGGATGATTCTTCTGAGCCATCGTGGTCTTGGCTCCCAGCTTTGCTATCGCATCTGGTTAGCTCATGCGCGTCACGGGCCCTCCTGTGTAATGAAAACCACAAACTTCGCTGGCACGGCGGGGAGCGCATTGCGCTGAATGGAGCACAAGTTTCCAGGATACTGTTGTTAGCTTCTCCAGTGATGAAATGGTATAGAAATGTTGTTTTCCTTGCCCGGGAATGTCAAAACCTCTTCCATGCGTGAGAGCTTTTTCATGGCAGCAGAGCGGCTGAGCTCATGTAGGACGGCCGCCCGGGGTCTGTCCTCACCCTAACACTCGTGAAAACCTTGCATTCCTCAAACAGTTTTGGAGGGGAGGGGTGTTATCCCAAACAGCAGAAATCCGTTGGTGAGATTAAAGGGGCATTCCTAAATACGCATGCAGAAAAAAATTGATGTTTGCCCAGAAGTCCCATTGAGTTGGACATTTTCTATAGGAAGCCCATGTTCTGGATTTCAGCCTTGCAGGAGTGAGTTTCCAGCAATGGACTGGCTTTGCAAATTATTAGTGAGCAGAGGTGGGGGTGGGGGCAGGAGCTTCTCATGCTTCACCCTGCTTTTCTATTCCCTCTGTTTCATCATCTCCATTTAATGCATCCTCTTTTGACTGCCTTTTTGTTTCTGGGTCCTTAATTTACCGACCTCGGAAAGGTGGAAGGTGAACCCCTTGGGATTGAACTCGAGTCGTGAGCTTGACCGTTGGGTGAGAAACCGTTCAGGTCTCATTGAGCACTCCCTTTATCAAGGGACGTGAACAAGGCGGTCACTAGATGAAATCTTTTCTCCTTTGCAGGCTCTTGGGGGGGAATCTGTGAGTTTTGAGTTCCTGTTTGGACTGATCTCCCTGGACCTAGTAGCCTGTGTGCTGTGGGTGTCCCCCATCGCCCGCCACTTTGTCTGGCAAGCCTCGGGCTGCTTTGTAAATCCATCCATCGATCTGTCTACCTATATACTGCCTTTCCTTAAAGAGTGTCCTCAGAGAGGTTTGCCGTAGAGCAGAACAGAAAATGACAATAAAACACACCAATGGAGGAAGCATTGTAACATAACGACCTTCTATCCAGAATCAATCAACGCATGAGCAGAGAAGTAGATCAACAATTGCAAAACAATTAATTAATGATTTAATGACTAACTTTAAGATGACACTTCCTTTTGGTCCTGAACTCAGAGATAGGGTTTTCAGATGCCACCTCCCATGGCCTTCCACGTTCTACTGGCCTTTCATCTTCCTACCCTTGAAAGCTGGGGTGATATGTTTCGCCTTGGGGCGACTGCATATAATTACATGGTCGGTTTATTTCTTTATTTTTATTTTGTTCTCTGCATGGCCTTTTTTTTCTAAATGCCCAGTCATGCAAATGACATTCGTTATCCTTTAAGCAGATTTTTCTCTTCATTTAAGAAGGGCTCCCTCTGACAGAAGCTTGGCGAACTCCAGATTAATTCCGTTTTCATCTTTCCTCTGAGCAACATGAACAAGGGTGTCAGGAGGTCTGAACCTTGACAGGTTGTGCTAAGGGGGGTGCCTTTTGCTTGGGACTTCCATGAAAACAGGGAGCCTACTCATTCCTCAACCCTGGTTTCGGACAGTACAGGGAGATGTGAAGAAAGGTTTGGAATGGGTTGTGCATTTCCTAAATATGGACATAAGAGCTCAATGTGGACGTCTGCAGTTCCATTTTTCATTTTCACTCATTTTAGGAAACCCAGAAAGTAGGGGACTTAAAAGTTTGCAGCTGTCCTGCACCTTCAGTTTGGCGGTTCGTACCGGTTCGTTTATTAGCCGAACGGCTGTTTGGTGCTCCAAAGCCCCGCCTCGACAGTTCGTACCGGTTCGTTTATTAGCCGAACGCCTGTTTGGTGCTCCACAGGTGGGTGCCTACTCAGAGGCAGCAGTCTGACTTCCTTGCCCCGCCTCATCTGGGCAGTGCCCCTGAGTGGGCAGAGGAAGTGGGGCTTTGAAGCATGGAACACCTGTTCATCCCTTAAACAAACCTCCTCCTCCGGGCAGTGCCTTTGAGTGGGCAGAGGAAGTGAGGCTTTGAAGCGTCAAACACCTATTCGTCCCTTAAACGAACCCGTACGAATCACCGAACTGGCAGTTCGGGCCCATCTCTACCAGGGGCAGAACCTCAAGAGCTGACTGGACAGCTCAGTACGTTGGAGCAGCCAGATGCAGAGCCAGGATTTGGAAGGTGGATTCCCCAGTGCACCTCCCATGTAGAGAAAGACCAGCGAGTGTGAATCTTGAGCAAGCTTCATTAAAAGAAGGCCGTGGTAGACCACCTCTGTACCTAAGAAATGGTGGAAAGGCATGTGGCTGTTGTTGTTAGAACCTGAAAGGCAAAAGAAGAGGTCAGACGGAGCAAGCTGCTCCAGATGTTGAGTTTTACACACAGCATCCCCCAGCATGGGCAGCGTTGGCTAGGGCTGGTAAGACTTGGCTGGTTCTGACGGGAGTCCCAGATGGCCCACTCCCCTTGAACTAAAGTTAAAAAACAAACCAGCCAGGGGATGTCTAGAAGAAGATACACAGAATTATTCTTGTTTGGGGCAGGGAGATGGGATCCCATCAATAAACTTTGTTTTGGACGTCATTCATGGGTTGTTGTTTTTTTTGGTAAAATTAGAAAACATGACACACAGGCCTTTATTAATAACATCTTAGAATAGGAACGACAGCATATTTGATCCATTCCCATTGTTCTGTTGCATGCCATCTGTTCCCTACACCCACAGCGGCAGAGGATGAATAATCTGAAAAATTGTCATGGGGGGGGTGTCAGGGTGTCTAGGACTGGATTGTGTTCTTTCTGATCACCTAGAACTGCAGATTACACACACACACACACACACACACACACACACACACACAATTTCTGTTGTGTTTAACTTTTATTGTACTTTAAAACAGCTCAGTTTTAAGCCAAAAAAAGAGTGGTTTTTTTAAAAAAATATGCGGGACGTTCCTGATGTTGTAGATTGGATAAGGGGTGTCAAGGCAGGAAAGCAGGAACTCGCAGGATTTAGGAGAGAAATGGGTTCTCCCAAAAGTAGAACCTGGGGGGGGCGACACATATCTGGGCCAATTATACCCTTTGGAACCAATGGGGAGGTGGAGCTCAAGGGCTGTGACTCTTAAACCTTTTTTGTTCATAAATTCTGGCAGCAGTGTTAAGATGTGGAAGTGTACTTTCCCGTTTTCTCTGAACTTAGTTGTGATCTTCGTAGTAGCTGGGAGAAAAGGGTTTTTCCTTCTCAGAAACAATACGTTCTTGCCAGTGATCCCTATGGTAATGCAAAAGATTTGAGACTACTTTAATCCTGAGTGGACAATTGAGAACCGTTGACCTTACAGAAGACCTGCTCCTTACTTGTTGACATGGTCTCTGTTGTTGGTTCTGTTCCTCATGGGTGGTGTCGGAACCGCCGGCACTTCCAAATTTTCCATTCTACTACTGGGTGACCGTTTGGGATTCCGGGCCGCCCAAAACACCTCGAGAGAAACGTGATACATCATTTAGTTCTACGAATTAAATATATCTGCAGGTGACTGTGCTAATTAGTGCAAAAGAACCAACAGGCCGAAAGAACAACGGTCGACAAAGAATGTTCAAAAAGGGGAGATAATACCCCCAAGAGAAAACACATACTTCTAATGGCATGTCTTCTTCTCTATGCCTTTGTTTTGCTTTAAAAAAAGATTCAGGATCTCAGAAACACTTAAAATATTGTCAACCTTCAAATAATTTTCTAAGGATGTAATAAAGCTATTCTTTCTTTTACTCCTGCACGGCTGGTGGCCGCCACAAGTAGAAACGAATGTTTCTCCAATGAAGTTCGGTGGCATATCCTCAAAACCATGATTAAAATTGGCCTCCATGTAGATTTTTCTTTCTCCCGTCTGTTGAGAAGGAGGGGATATTTTGGGTTTAGATATTTGGCTGCAGATTTTCCCCCTTTTCAGCTAGAAAGGAGAACTGGAACGACAGTGTAGAAGTTTGTGGCTTAAAACATGTGCTCGTCGGAGGGTGTCAGGTTTTTAACTCGTTCGCTTTCAGTGATTTCTAAAGATATGCAAAAAAAATTGAGACTTTTGTGGGTGCAAAAAAAGGTGGACTTATCCAAAAAGACTATGCCCGGCAAGTAAAATCACCAGCACGCCACCAGCTGTGCTGGCCAAGAATTCTGGGGGTTGTAGTGCAAGAACATCTGGGGACCCATGGTTGGGAACCATGTTGTTTTGAGATGAAACGTTGGGTTTTGTAAAATAAACGTGACATGTATTTATTTTGCATCTGTCATCAGCTCCTCCCCTTACCCAGCAGGTGCTTCGGCCCTGCTAGTTTTTAATGCTCTTTTTGCGGGGCATTGACGTCTTGATTTCTCAATTCTCGCTTCTCTCGATTTCAGGAATAGGAGGATTGCAAGACTTCGTCTTGAAGTCGGCAACGCTGTCTTCCTCTCCAGCTTGCCCGCCCTTTAATCCGCTCAACTTCGAAGCCACTCCGATAGTCCGCGTGGCCATCGAGCCCAAACACCCAAGTAAGAGCCTTCCTTTCCTTGAACCAACAATAATGGGGATTCCTGCGTTCTTCAAACACCAATTTCCTTTTGAACAATCAGAAAGGGGGGGGGGAGAAAGTGAACTTTCACTGATGGAAAGACTGACTCTGCCGATAATCTTGCTCCTGCCATTGTGGCTTCCTGAGTTCGGTGAGAACTGTGGCTGCTCAAATACGTTTTTAAAAAATCCCAAATAATTTTTAGCAATGATTGTGTTGTGTGTTTGCATACTTCAACGTAAAGGCTAATGAAAACAACAGTCTTCCAGGCTTTCCCTGTTTTATTAATTTTTAAAAAAATTCCCAGGCTAAAATCTTTCATTCCAGATTTTTTAAAATTCTCTTTTAGATTTTGTGCATCTGCTGCTTCGAAAACAGAGTCCTTCATAACTGCTGGAGACTGCCAGGGGTTTAGGCATCTGGCTGCAGAGTCAGAGGGTTGGGAGTTCGAAACCGCCCCCACCCCGCACGGTACTTCCTTGACAGGAGGTGGACTCCGTGATCCAGAGGGTCCCTTTCCAGCTTGGCAGTTTATTATATTTGAAAGCCCCTTTCTCCTCCTAGGTGAGATGCCTCAGTTGGTCAAAGGCATGAAGCTTTTAAACCAAGCCGATCCGTGCGTGCACGTTTTGATCCAGGAGACGGGGGAGCATGTGATCATCACTGCCGGGGAAGTCCATCTGCAACGCTGTTTGGATGACTTGAAAGAGAGGTTGGTAACGGCGTGGGGGGGGACACACCACGGGTGGGAGGACAGGAAGGAGCAGAAGGGGGGGGAACAAGGGCATTGTAAGAATTCGTTACAGATCTTCATTCATTCATGGAGCCGGGAAACGTCACTCTTCCCAGACTCAACAGGCCTCAAGTTTCGCCCTGCTTGCTTCCTCTCCAGGTTTGCCAAGATCGAAATCAGTGTCTCAAAGCCCATCGTTCCTTTCCGAGAAACCATAACGAGGCCCCCCAAAGTCGACATGGTGAACGAAGAGATCGGGAAGCAGCAGAAGGTGGCGGTCATCCACCAGAGCAAGGAGGAGCAGAACAAGATCCCCGACGGCGTGCAGGTGGACCCGGACGGTCTCATCACACTCTCGACGCCAAACAAATACGCCACCCTGAGCGTCCGGGCCACCCCGCTTCCGGAGGAGGTGACGCGGCTTCTCGAGAAGAACGGGGACTTGATCCGGACCATGGAGCGGGTCACGTCGTCCCTTAACGAAGGGAAGAAAGCCGAAGAGATGGATCAGAAGACCCTGGACCAGGTGCGGGAGTTGAAGCAGAAGCTGGAGCAACACCTGCAAGGTTGGAAGTGGCGCAACGCGGTGGAGGGGATCTGGTCTTTTGGGCCCCGGAAATGTGGCCCTAACATTTTGCTGGGCCGGTGCGAGGGCTTCGAGCGGTCTGTTTGGCAGTGCCTGGAAAGGACCAAGCCGGCCAAAGAAGGGGGCCTGCATCGGGACTTTGAGAACAGCATCATCAGCGGGTTCCAGCTGGCCACCCTTTCGGGCCCGATGTGCGAGGAGCCCCTCATGGGCGTTTGCTTTTCCGTGGAGAAGTGGGACATGAGCAGGTTGGAAGAGCTGACGTCTGCTCGCCAGCCTGATTCAGAGGAAGGAGGCGCTCGAGGCGAAGCCCTGGCGGAGGAGGAACGTGGCTTGGTACCTAGGAGTGAGGAGACCAGATCCGTTCCTGAACCGGAACTCCACGCCGGCGAACGGGCTAGTCTCAAAGCGTCGGGTAAGAGCAGAGGAGGGACTCTGCTCGCGGACTGTTACGGCCCTCTTTCGGGACAGCTGATCGCCACCATGAAGGAGGCGTGCCGTTACGCGATGCAGGTCAAGCCACAGAGGCTGATGGCGGCCATGTACACTTGTGAAATTATGGCCACGGCAGAAGTGCTGGGTAAGAATTAAAAAGTCCGCAGCGTCCACAGCTATTCAAAGGAGCCTCCGTAGGGGTAGAAAGCTGACTGTGGACTTTTTTAAAAAAAACTTTTCTGGAGCTGGGGGAGGGGGAAGAGAATGGGCATGCGATAGGCAAAAGGCAGCGCTGGTTTAGCTCGGTGTGTTGGAGCTCCGACTGCCGAGACCGGAACTCGGAGTGGGGATCCCCCGTTTGCCTCCCAGGAGCAGGGTCAGCCGAGAGCACTCAGAACACGTAGGGCCCTGGCTTGTGGGCAGGCTTGAGCAAGCTGCACTTATGCCCCCCCCCCTTGAGGGTCACCAGAAGGAAAGGGTTGGCAAATTGCCTCTGGCTACTTTATGCCTGGAAAACCCTGGAAGGATTGACAGAATTCCAAACCGACCTGATAGCGATATCACTGTTACCAAGCTTTCGTAACAGTGAACAGTAATCCTTCACATTGATTTGGTTGGAGGTAAATATCTCCCTTACCCTTCCTCTCTTGCTTACACACCAGCATCCAAGGATCCCCCCTCCCTTCTTTTCAAGCAGTTTCTACTCTTTTCCCAGGGCTTTCTCCACTTCCTCTTCAATTCCCGTGTCTTAATTTGTCCTCCTGATTTCGTGACGGTATCCCTGAACAGACTCTTTGACACCTTCTGCTAGCTGACTGGAGTCTCCCTGTCCCTCCGCAGGCCGTGTCTACGCCGTCCTGTCCAAGCGTGAAGGGCGGGTGTTGCAGGAGGAGATGAAAGAAGGGACGGACGTGTTTATTATCAAGGCGGTCCTGCCAGTAGCAGAGAGCTTTGGCTTCGCCGACGAGATCAGGAAGAGAACAAGTGGCCTGGCCAGTCCGCAGCTGGTGTTCAGCCACTGGGAGGTAAAAAAAAAATTCAACCCGCTCACATCTGTCTTGGTGTAGAATTTCTCAGAGATGCAGCAAAAAAGAAAACGGAGAAAGGGAATAACGGAAAGGAGAGGGAGAGTTTAGATTACGGTTGTACCTTCGCTGGTTTTGTTTCCTAAGCAAAAGGGGGATGCGAGCAGCTTCATAGCTAGCTATATTTGCTTTCCTGATGCATGCTTTGGAATATTTCTGCCCTGTTCCCTTAGACTTTGGGGGTTCATGCCCTGCATTGGACTGGATCAAAGGTTCCCCCAAGTCTAACGGTATGTTTCCAATAGCAGCCAGCCGCAAGATTGGGAGAGAAGATGACAAGCAGGGCAAAAAAAGAAAAAGAAAAAAAAAAAACGAGCCAGCCCTAATTCCAATAAAGGCATATTGCACCATAGCTGTGACGTCAGAAAGAACAACTGTGGTAGTAATCTTCTTCCTGGACCTTTTCAGATTGCGTGTAAGGGTTCACGAGGTTGTTTCCCCTCTCACTAACTCCTTCCGTAAGGAAAACTAGCTTATCAGGGAGAAGATTACACAAGGAAGCATTTCTATCATTGAAAAGCTGGACTTCCTCCATGCTGAGGACCACTCCGTTCTCCGCTTGGTGAAAATATTTTTCCTTTGTATGGGATATTGTTTTTCAAAGTTAGAATCTTTTGAACTGCTGAAATGGATACTACAGGTCAAGTATTATTGAGCTCTTCAGAGGCCTATTGTCGTTTGGCGGAAAATAAGGGGTAAACTGTTCATTTTATTGCCTCTATTTCCTGTCCTTTCTTCCTAAACTGTGTTTTCTTCAAAACCATGTAATTTACAATCAAGAGCTTTTGAGAGGAAGATGCTTCAAGGAATAAAAAGCAGAATAAAATTACAGCCCTTTGGTTGTTAAGTCTGCAATCTGCTCCCTATTTTCACAGACCTGTGGAAGGAAAATATAGACTTGGCGACAAAATGCAGCATCAAATTCTTGCCCTTCTGGGCCACCTTAAAGGTCTGGACATGTTAACAGATTTTCCCATGTACCAAACAAGCAAGTTGGCTTTTCATTCCCCCCCCCCAAGGAAATAGTTTGGACTTTCCCCCCCTTGAGTCGTAATTCTGAGTCCTATTCCGAGTGACGCATTCTGGGGGTGCGGTGAGTTCTGATCACCTCTCGATGTGACTCCCCAAATCATGCTCCACCACCCTCGTTCCAGATACGCAACCTTGGCTGAGGTCTCACCTGGGAAGGGAGTCGATGGCAGAACAATGCACGTTGAGACCCATTTGACGTGATCTGAGGAGGAAGTGTCTCACTCCTTCACCCTGGAGGTATAGGACTCCTGTACCCATGATCCCCAGGCCTCAGAGCTGGCGGTGTCATTCAGCACAGATCAAGCTGTCAATAGGGGCATTGCTTTCCTCAGCACCTTGGAAGCCCATGCAGGGGAGAAACCTGAACGATGAATCGATCTGTTAACTCCCGTTTAAACATTTGTATGCCTGGGCGGTCATATTCTGACGCTTTTTGTTTCCAAAACAGCTGGATTACAGACAGTCTTCTAATGCAGAAGTGTCGTCTAAGCTGTGGCCGTGGCGAGGCAGGACTTTTGACTCATCCAGTTTCACCCCAGCAAATATTGGAAAGTTGTAAAAGGAATATAAAGTGAAAGTAGACACTCCAGAGCTAAGGCGACTAAGGGGGAGGAGAGGAGAGAACGTTGTTTTTTCTTCCTGTACATCCAAGAGCAACTAAGGGTGGGCGTTGGGGTTGGAAAAACGCTTTCACTTTAACCATTTCTTTTAAACTACCAGGAGTTACAGATTTACTCCATGCAGTGATGGCTGGTGATACTGGGGTGGAGCCGAGCGACTGGCGGTTCTGTGCATGCTTTTAATTAAACCTCCAGAAACAGCAAACATTTTTTTCAAAAGAAGAAAGGCAGTTAGTTCTCTATCAGATCAGGATAACGCCTGAGACGTGCCTCACATGAAATAAAATGGGCGACTCCTGTCCTACAGGATGACAAGGCCAAGATTTAGATGTTTCTGGGAGCCCTTCCTCTGTGGCCTTTCGTCTTTTGGCCGTCTGCGATTCCCGTCTGTGATTCCCCTTTTGGCTGTCTGTGATTCCTGCCCTGTCAGCGGTAGGCTGGCCGAATTTAGAGGACAGCACCATAAACCAGTCTCGTGGGAATGCCTGGGTTCAAATACAGGTCCTGTCATATCAGTCCAGAAGAGTGGAAGGCTCAAAGGGAGATAATAAATATACTGCAATGATTGTTCTTTTATGGATGTGTTAAACCAGAAGTTCCTCCTCCGTTCTTTCTGAATGTGCTCCTTGGTTTTCCAGACTGTACTTATTTTAAAAGCAGGGGTAAGGAGCTTTGAGCTTCTTTTATCAAAGGCAGCTCATTTTGACAGGGGGCTGCTTGAGGTTTCCACCTTCTCCTGTTTTCTCCTCCTCGGTTCCAGTAACGCGGCTCTTTTTGAACCCGTTCCTCTTTTCTCCTAGATCATCTCCGGCGATCCTTTCTGGGTCCCCACCACCGAGGAGGAGTATTTGCACTTTGGGGAAAAGGCAGACGCAGAAAACCAGGCCCGCAAGTACATGAACGCCGTGAGGAAGCGGAAGGGGCTCTATGTAGAGGAGAAGATAGTGGAGCACGCGGAGAAGCAGAGAACTCTCAGCAGGAATAAATAACAGCCTCCCCGCGTACGTCTCGGTTAAGCGCAGGTGGATGATCCTCAGCCCCGCGGATGGACGACTGTTCTGTACTGTTCTTGGCGTCAGTTTTCACAAAGTGACTCGGCTGCATTTTAATAAAGCCTGGGCCTTTTCACACAACACCCACACCCCGGTCCCTTTCCTCGTTCCTTATTCTTGTGCACCCCGGCTTCCACTTCCTTCTGGTCGTGGCTTTCAGATCTCTGCCTTCTGGAAAGTGGTCTTTGTACGGCAGCTCGTGGGCCAGACAGGTCCTGCTTGTCGGCAAACTCCTTCCCCGCTGCAGGTGAGATCTGAGAAATCTGGTGGGCTTGTAATGCGGACGCAGCTGCTGGAGAGCTCAGCGGTTTTGGCCTCTGGCTGCAGGATCCAGAGGCTGGGGGTTCGATTCCCCCCCCCCACGGGGCACCTCCTGGACAGGAGCCGGACGCATGAAGACTCCCTTCCAGCTCTGCAGTTTGAGGATAATTATTATTATATTATTAGAAACTGTTGGATTAAGGCCTTTAAAACATTGGAATCAAAAACATCTGTAGGATTGCCGACAAAGGAGTCAGGAGCATCTTAATCCTGGAAGTAATTCTGTTGGCAGCTAAATGGGAGGGTGTAGATGGAAATCTTGCTTTTTCCTGTTCAGAGGTGTCAAAATGGAAGAAAAGGGGTGTGTTTTTACACACACACACACGCACACACACGAAATAAAATCAGCACACACACGAAATAAAACAAATCAACAACAGTTTTTTCCACAGGCGCACTGAAGCATATTCACGGAGTAGAGCTAGCCATGAAGCATTTTAATGGAGATTGTTAAGACAATTATTTGACCGTCAATTGCTGGCTTTCTTTGCTCAATTTAATGCTTGATTAAAATGATCACAGGCGTTTTAAAACAAACACAAACTGCACATGGGCTTTTCATCCCTCATTTTTTCCCCCTCTCGCTTTTAATATGCAAACAACACAGCAGGATTTAAAATTGTCTGGGCTGTAAACCGGTTGCAGAGCAGCCATTCACTGGGCACCGAATCAGATGCTCTGGGTGTGCTTTGTAATAAATGGAAGCGAGAGAGGAGAAAACAGGATCCAGAGCATTGGCCCAAATCACTGGGTTCATCGCTAGACAGGTTTTGCCTGCCTTCACGTTTTAATAAGCACGAACCTTTTGCTCAACTGAAATGTGTCATTTGCTGTTCGTAGAATATAGCAGGACATTATGGAGAGGACATGGGTGGATTGCACCATACCTGTGACGTCAGAGAAAGAGCAGCTGCGGTAATGAAGTTCTTCCTGAACTTTCAGATTTTGTTCAAAGGTTAATGAGGTTGTGCTCTCTGCCACAAAAAAAAAAATTAAAGAAAACTAGCTTATTTTCTTTAAGACAACTCACTTATGCTGGCCTTCATTATCAGTAATATGCACAGAATATATATATATATATATAAAGTCCCCAAATTAATGACATTATCAGCTCTTGTGAAGCAAAGACAAGTGGTTGATGGATCTATTGATCAACAGGACGAGCTGTGTTAAGCGGCTTACAGAGGCGTGCTTTTATTGGGCACTTAAATGATGCCTATTATGACATACAAGGCAGTCATTGCTCCAGGAATTTTTTAAAAAACATCCTTCTCTTCTGGCCTTCTCTCTGATTTGATGTTGCTGCTGTAACTTTATTGTGGACATTTTGATAAGAGGAGCAAGGCAGTGACAGGTCTGTGTCCCGTTTTCATGTGCTCACATAAGCTGGTCTGTCCCCATTTTATTTTAAAAATCTGCATGGAAAGCCACGTGGAGGACATATGTACATGTATTTATTTCATTTAGCCACATGGTATTCCTGTTTCTCCTCTTACGAGCTCTGGATGGCATACCTCGTCCTTGGCTTCTTCACTTTATCCTAGAGGTGCATTTGGTGGGGACACGGGAGAGACCCTTCTCTGTGGCTGCTCCAGGTCTGTGTAACTCCCTGCCACTGGAGGCCAGGCTGGCGCCCCTCTTTGCTCTCCCTCTGCAAGCAGGCCAAGAGCGTGGAGGCCAGGCTGGCGCCCCTCTTTGCTCCCCCTCTGCAAGCAGGCCAAGAGGTTTCTCTTCAGGCAGGCTTTCCCTGAGCGACTGGCTGCTGGAGTGGGGTTTTTAAACTGATAATTGAACCCTACTTTTTAAAATGTATTTCGGTGTTGCTTCGATTTATCATTTTTTTAATATGGTATTTATGTGATCCTTTTTAGTATTTGTCTACTTGCTGTTTTTAGCTTCTAATAATTGTCTTTTAATTTTGTAACCCACCTTGGGTCCTTTTTAAGAAGAAAGGCAGGGTAAAAAAAACATATTTGAAATGAAATGAAATAAAACAATCCTAACAGATAGGGTCAGGCTCGGACAAAGAGAGAATTTGCTTAAGGTTGCCCAGTGACTTACATTTGAAAACTCTCTTTTCTTTTAAAATATATGGCCCTGCCCTTAACATTTGCATTCTGAAATGGTTTTGGTTCTCTTCCCCCCCCCCTTTTCTTTTGGGTGGGGAGAGAGAAGAAGTCTATTGATGGAAGTGTAAAATCTGATGGTTTAGTTTGGAAGGAACTCCCCCACCTTGCATGCTTGAAGTGTCAAAGCGTCGCTCTGGAGCATCAGAATATGCCCCTTACAGTTTTTGAAAAGATGCAACATTTGCTGTCCTGCCTAGTTCGGAACCGAGAACGGCGACTCGTACAGAGACACAGCGGGACAGGCGAAGCTTCCTTGGGCGGTAAGTAAAAATCTTCTGTTACGAGAGTGAAACATTCATCCAGTCCTCACCGGAAGAGTGTTTGTATGAACAGATATTTGGGGAATTGCATTCTCTAACTTGGGAAACACCGGGGAGCTAAAATTTCCCTATGGGTTGTTCTTTCTATAAAAATGGTTTCTCCGAACTCTCTGCCTCCTGACCTTTTTATTTCTGAATCAAAGCTTTTCTCACTTTTGAAAAGCCAAGGAGGGAGGAAAGCTCAAAAGGAGT